ATTCCTATGCCACCAGCCCCTAATGATTTTCATCTTATTGTGACATGGATCTGTGCACCATTTCACTGCAAGCCCTAACTGCTTTTTTGGAGGAAAAATTATACTTTGAGTGAAAATGTGTTGGTAATTGATTAAATACAAAAAATATTTACCTAATTTACTATTTCTCTCTGCTTTCTAAATTGCTTCAGGCAGGACAGAGGAGGACAATGTGTTTTAGGTGAGCTGGCATGAGGGAGGCCCTGGAGTGCCAGGAGTCCCCTTTTCCCAATACTGGTGCTGTAACTCAGGCAGAGTGAATAGCCACCCTAGCATAAGGCTGGTTAGAGGTTGCTGTTGCTTTTCACCTCATTTAGGAAAAGCTGAATCTCTCACTCCCAGCTATATCAGTCCAAGCGAGAGCCTACAGCCCAGAGCCTGTGTTTGCTGGACTGTGGCATGGCGAGGGGAGATATCTGTGGCACCGCAGGGCTGGTGGCTCCCCATGTCAGGTCTATCAGGGCCTGGTTAGGAGCTGGGCAGTTGGTGGGCACAGACATGCCCTGACATCAGGCACCTCCCTGGCTGAGGTTGGACTGGATCAGCTTGTCACTGTCTGTGGCCAGATTGTGGGGCTGGAGACTGGCCCTGCAGTGGTGTCACTGGTATGCGATGGGGTCACAGGGGAGCACAGAGGGGGCTGGTTGGAGCTGTCAGGGGCTCTTATGGCCCTGCCAGCAGCCAGGAGAGCTGATGTTGGAGAGCTGCCTAGAGCCCAGATGGTTCAATCTGTTGTTGTACCCCTCCTGGCCTGGTGTGTGGTTGGCAGAGATGTGGGGTCATTCCTTTCACCACCAGCACATCATGGTGTCAGACCAGTTGCATTGTGAAACTTCAGCTGAAGAGGTCTGCTGTGCTGGCAGCCAAAGGCTGGTGTCCACGATGCTGGACTGAGGCTCACACCCTTTGTCAGGGCTGGTGTAGCACTGCTCTGCTGGCTCTGTGCCCTCACAAGCATCCTTGTTCTTAGGACTGGCAGCTCCAGTCCAGCCTGTCTGCATAAAACCTTCATGTGAACTTTGGTCTCCCTCCAAGTTGTGGTATGATCTTGTAAAAGTTTTTCGTTTAGTTTTTTTTTTGGGCTTTTATTTGAAACCTAGGTTTCTTGTGGGATTTTGTATTTGCTTTTAAGGGTGGGTGAAGCCAAACTTATCTAAAATCATATACTGAGCTGGACTCGGAGGGTGCTGCTCCCTCCTGTCTGTGGCTCCTTTATCATAAATATCCATGTAGTCTACTGCTGACTCATTTCAGTCAGTTCCATGGGCAGATTAGTAATTTAGCATGTAGAGTTAACTCAAATTTATATAGTGACCAGCTAAAGACATTGTTACTGAAATCGGCTGTTTTATAGTTGCACCTTTACAGTTAAATAGTATAAAAGTTAAATCAGAACCTAGTTTTTACCAAGACTGCTCCCAAACTGCCAGGTGCTTAATACTTGTTCACAAAACAAACTTAAGATGCAAATGAGCCAAGTGATATGTTCTCTGACACCAAAGAGGTGTCAGAAATGGAGATTTAAATTAGGTATAATAATCCTTCTTTCCATAAGGTCTGTTTAAATGGTGATCACGATTTTCTAGTAGAAATCAAGTTGAAATTATCTTGGATTTGTTTAATCATGCTGTACAGTTTGTATACAGCAGTGAAGAATAATTTTGGCAGGAAAGAGGGAAGCGGGCAGCTAACTCAGCCTTTGTACTAACTACCCCAACTACCAGCAACTGCTCTAAGTTTCCCCTTTTAATAACTACTGCATCAGAAATACAGACTCTGACTTGAGTAGGAGGCAGTAGAAAAGGAAGTGGGTCAGGTATGTAACTTCTGCAACTGAACTTCAGTTGAGAGCAAGATGAAAGTTGCCAAATAAAGCTGTTTCTCTGTGGCGGCACAAACGTCTCTTGGCTCTCCCACAGTGCAAAGTGCTGCCTCTGACAGGGTATTCTCGAGTATGCACACTAAAACTACGCAGAGCTAAAGAAAAAGATGTTAAAAGCTTTACTGAATGTAGTCAAAAGCTATGTTAATGAGTATTCTAGGCTTGTTAAGAATATTAGATGCATTATTAGATGGAAGGTACCAAATCTTACCCTGTAAAGGTCAGCTTCTGTGAATGGGATATGATCAAGTTTTAGGACTTAGAAATTGCAGGTGTAAACAAATAGTAACTTACTGTTAAAACTGGTCAGAGAAGGCAGTGTGTCAGTGAAAAAAATTTGACTGCAGGGGAAAAATCTCCATGTAAAGATAAGAGCCACGTTAATGTGTAAATGTTTGCAGATCTCTCATTTTGGTATAATGAAAATGCAGGGTCTTATTACAATAGAGGAATTGCACCCAGCTGGGTATACAAGGCCTTTCTGAAAGAGATTCTTTATCCTGCTTTCAATTAAGTTTTATTCTGAAACTGGAGTGGGAAAGACTTCTTAGCAAGCTTTATTCTCCGAAAATTTTAGAAGGTGAAGACCACGATGGTCACTTTCAATTAAGACTTTTTCCCTGCAGTGTAAAAACAGCGAGGGGGTAGTAATCTTCTTGAGTGTGTGTTACTCTTCAGTGATAGTGGTCCTCTGAAAACTAAGAATAGGATAAAATGGTAGTGCTAACAGCTTAAAGAAAGTATTCCGACATACACTATGTAAGTGTATTTGAAGTACACTTTAAGTTCTAAAAAAGTTTTAAGTTGTTAGGCAGAAAACAGTAATAGACAGTGTCACATACATAGCTTGTATCCTTCCTTTGTTAATTTAATATGTGATGAATGTTATTTTTATTGCATCAGATCTACCAGTCAAAACTAGCAGGACATCAAGTAAGCAAGTGTGTGATAAAGTTATAAAACATTTTAAAACTTGTTCTGACTTATGTAATTGTGTTCGATGTCACATTGCAAACTGAAAGCTGGAATTGTGGAATTTTTCTTTTAAAATTTTATTTTAATTCAAAGTGTGAATGTACCTCTCTATGTTTTCAGCTGTAATTGCATGCTAGCTCACCTGGCTACTTGTCTTAAGGGTTAAAATTTAAATTTTCTTCCAAACAAATGTCTACCTTCCCTAAGATAAATAAGAAATGCAGGATATAATAATTAGAATTGCAACTCTGAAAACGAAGTACACTTTACAGTAGTTAAGATGTTTATATAATGCTGTTAGTCACAAATTCATGTCTAGTTTGTGGTCTCTGCTTGCTCTTGGCTTGAGTTACAAAATGCTTGATTATAGTACTTACAATACTGCTGATCCTCATGGCTGTGTCAGACATTTGTGCAGTGATCCGCACCTGCCCCCCATCTCCTACACATGTGTCAGCTCCCTCAGTTTGCAGTGCTGTGGGCAAAGTGATGGACCCAATGTGTAGTGCATCCCAGTGGCAGCATTACTAACAAAAAATTCTGATGCCAGGCCTCAGTTTGTACCTCAGAATGTACCTATTCTGAGATGTGCAAGTAGCAGGTTAAAGAGCCACAGTGGATGAAGTAAAAGCTAAAATGACACTGGGGTAGCTTCAATAAAAGAGGCCCAAAAAAAGGAAATTCTTATGCTAAACAGCCTATAGCAAAACCCAGAAGTGGATGCAGTACCGCTTCTTTTCCTTAAAGTTTCTTACCGGTTTTTCTGAGTAGCTGTTATTCTTAGAGCTGTTCAGAAAGTTATTCAGAGGTGCTCTTTTTTTCTTGAAAGTAGCAAAAATGTAAGGAGCTTTATATCTCTCAAATACTGGATATTTCGTTAACTTACAGATTCAAATTGTGGAAGACATTCTCTGAAAACTGTATAGGCTTTTGCAGTTAGAGGCTGAAATTCAAACCTGCACTAAGTTATTAGGCAGTGAATTTGTGAGTAGAAATGGCACTTGAGTAGCAATGTAAGTTTTTTAAGGATATCATGTTCTTGATATTCAGGTAAATATTAATTTACCTGCTTAAGGTAGTACTTAAAAAAAAAAAAAAGATACCCAGTTCTGTAATACACTTTAGTTTTCTCAACAGCTACAGCTGTAGCAGCTGCATTACTGTGCAGTGATCCCTTCACAGAATATCTGAAACAGAAAAAAAGTGCTTAAGAGGAAGCAAAGCTAACAAACAAAAATGATGTAGTACCTGTGAAGTAAAGATGAAAATAAAATTGTCATATTAGAAATCTTACTGCTACTCAACCTTGCAGCATATTTCCACATAAAACCAAGTGTGTTTAAAAAATGGTAATACAATGCTGCTGTGCTCTTAGATTTGTGCATTTGCAGTGACTTCACACAAGTCAGCTTGAGATATAGGTGATAAGTATTATCTTTTACCTTAAAAAGGTATTTCAGCAATTCAGTAACAGTTGTTCTCACAACTCTCTCAAAACTGAGGTGCTCTGCTATACTAATTTCCCCCCCTCTTCTCATCAGCTGTTTACTGCTGGTATTTCTAAGCTCATACACAAGACATTGAAGAGACTGTACCTCACATAAAAATGTTGAAAGGCTTCAGGATCTTCTTTGCCTTTATTGCCTTCTTTTACTGTGAGAAATAAAGCATGACTACCATCCAAGAAGTGTAAGTTTTAATGATTATGTCAATGTCAAATGTCTGTCAGCACTGAAATGGGTATAAAACATTCTTGTCAAACTCTGAAGCATGAATTAACAAGAAATACTTGCTTCTCAGTAATGTATCTGACTTAAATTTTGTTAGATGCAGCTGAATCAGCTCTGTTTTCTTACTGAACTTTGGTTTGTAGTCTTAGTACTGTGGAAATAGGGTTTCACAAAAAACTATCTGCTTCTCCCAGTCTTTTTCTCAAAAAATAAACTAATTTTATTCATTAATTTATGATTTTCAAGAGAATATTTTTGGCTGAACTATTCATCTTTTTACTGTCACTAAATAACAATGTGATTATTAATTAATAATTTTTTAAGAAATGTTTTAGTCTTTGAATGACATCATATTTCATTTCTTTTTAGGATTTTTCCTTCCATTTTCCTGACAAACTCGCCAAATTCCTGAGAAACACAAACTTTTTTCTGAAGTTGTTGATGCTGATATGAGCAGAAGGGAGGACATTTTCTTTTTTAGCTGTGCGAAGCTACCTAGTATTTGAAATGCTGAAGAGGAAATTACGGTTTTGCCATAATTTGCGCTTCAGGCTTTTCTTGGGTCTAACTCTTATTTTAGTAATCATTTCAGTTTTGAAAGTTAACCAGAAAGAAGACTTCTTAAATCAGAGACATCTAGAGCTAACAAAAGAAGATCCTATCAGCAATGTTAACTGCACCAAGATTATTGAGGGGGATATAGAAGAAATACAAAAGGTAAAGCTTGAGACATTGTCAGTGTCATTTAAGAAACGCCCCAGGCTAACAACAAATGATTATATTAACATGACGGCAGACTGTGCCTCCTTCACCAAGACTAGGAAATACATTATGGAACCTCTCAGCAATGAAGAAGCAGAATTTCCGATTGCTTACTCAATAGTGGTTTATCACAAAATTGAGATGCTTGATAGACTTCTAAGATCAATCTATGCTCCACAGAATTTTTACTGCATTCATGTAGACAAAAAATCTCCAGAATCTTTTTTCACTGCTGTGAAGGGAATAGTCTCATGTTTTGATAATGTCTTTATTTCAAGCCAGTTAGAGAGTGTGGTATATGCTTCATGGAGCAGGGTGCAGGCAGACATTAACTGCATGAAAGATCTCTACAGTAGAAGTTCAAACTGGAAATACCTAATAAATCTATGTGGTATGGACTTTCCTATAAAAACCAACCAGGAAATAGTAGAGAAATTAAAAGCCCTGAAAGGTGAAAACAGCTTGGAAACAGAAAAAATGCCTGTTTATAAAGAAGTAAGGTGGAAAAAACACCATGAGATTATTGATGGTAAAATAAAGAACACAGGCACAGACAAACAACTACCACCTCTGAGTACTCCAATTTTTAGTGGTAGTGCCTATTTTATAGTTAGCAGAAGATTTGTAGAATATGTATTAGAAAGCAGCAAAATACTTAAGTTCATTGAGTGGGCAAAAGATACTTACAGCCCAGATGAGTACCTGTGGGCAACAATTCAGAGAATCCCTGATGTCCCAGGTGCAGTTTCTTCTAGTGACAAGTACGATGTTTCTGACATGAATGCACTGGCCAGGTTTGTCAAGTGGCAGTACTTTGAAGGTGACGTGTCCAAAGGTGCACCATACCCACCATGCAGCGGAATTCACATTCGCTCTGTCTGTGTTTTTGGGGCAGGAGACTTGAACTGGATGCTACGAAACCACCACTTCTTTGCTAATAAGTTTGACACTGATGTTGACCCTTTTGCAGTGAAATGTTTGGAAGAGTATTTGCGACACAAGGCTTTGCATATGCAAAAGAAGTGAAATACTGTATGCTCCTGTTACAAAACATAGGTACAAATACTATACTGCTAAGTACTTTGACAAGTAACAGCAATGGTGGTGATGCTGATGATGGGTATAATAAACCATGCTGATGTAGTGGTGCTGATGCTGTCCCTGCCTTGTCCATGGACAAGGGGAAGAAAAGACACGTCTCAAGTGAATATGGGGATCCCTGGTATTGCACACTGAGGCTCAGAGCTTTAGGTACAAAATCACAACAGCAACTTTTGGAAGGCCAACTATTTGGAATATTTATTTTCTAGAAGGTGTAATTAATGGATTTCCTTTGGCTAAACTGTTTGTTTTAAGGCTTGGAAAATGCGTGTTATTCATGGTTATTCATTATTTTTTTCCCATGAATGCAATGCTAGCTGGAAGAGAAAGATGAAGGGTTGGGGGGAAATGCAGCTGGACTGCACAGACTTTGTTCTGAGTACTGAAAGACTCAGGAATATAACATTAGAAATTATCTGAAAACTATGCAAAAGGGGATATGCAAAGTCAGCTGTCATAATTCAAGTTAAGTCTGCTTGCTGCAGTTCTGTTACATGTAATTCTTAGTCCTCTTGAAAATTTTGTCTTTAGCATGGAGTATTAAGGAATTGCATTTAAATTTTTGTAGCCAAATCTTGCTTTTGTACTCTCAAAGCCCCCTGATATTGTGATATAAAGTGTATACACTAGTTTATAATTACATCTTCTCAGGGAAATTTCAGTTTTATGCCTGATGAGATTTAGACTTGTAATTTTACACTTTTTAGTGTACTGGGAGTCTTGCTTTTGGATTCAAAATTACTCACATTTCTCAAAAACTTAACTGCAGTAGTGTGTAAATGTCACTGATGGAACTGCTGGTTTCTGCTTTGTGTCAAGCTCAACTTGCATTCCAGATTATTTTAACATTGAGTACAGAAAAATAAAGTTATTTTTCTAAATGATGTTGCCTCTTCCCACCATAGAAGAACCTCTAAAAGCACCACCAGGAAATCCTAATGATGAAGACCTAAAATGTTTTTACTGTAGGTTTCCATACAATTGAAGCTGCAGCTGAGGTAAGTCCTACCTTACCTCCATATTACCATTCATTCATGTGTCTGTGCTTGTTTAGGTTTAGCCGGTGTATTTATTTGCATCTTGTGGTGAAAGGGAAAGGAAGACATCAGGATGATTTTTGTTCCAGTTAGGTCCCTGCTTAGTTTAGCTGCTGGCTGCAGTGTGGCACAGAAGTGAAATAACAGGATATTGTGAGGGATGATATTATTTCTTTCTATATCAATTCTGGTTTGTCATGCATAGTTACTGCCAAGTGTCTCATCTTACTCCTGAGATGACGGTGGAATTCATTTGAGGCAAAATAGACTAAAATTTTTGTTTTGTGAACTGTTGCTGTAATGGTATCATGTGTTTCTTACAAAGGTGGTTTGTCGTGTTTTTCCTAAGGTGTGCCTCAATACTTAGACATTAACATAATGAACTGCTTATTGTTCATCATGCAAACAGCTAGGGAGGCAAGCAATTTAATCTGAAGTAGAGCCTATTCTTGCCAACCCCTGCCTTCAAAACCACCTGAAAGCTGTTTAGGGAGACTTCAGAGAGTTTCATGTTAAGAGGTAATTAAAGCCTCTTAGAGCTAAGAAATGAGCTAAGGCAGTTGAGGAAAATTCCCTGTCTTCCCCACCCTTTGGCTTTTCTGCAAGAATGCTCTTGTAGACAGTTATGCTCTACCACCTTTGCACAAGCTACAAAAAGGCTTAACTTCACTGCATATAGTATTGGGAAGTTGCAGGAAGTCATGCTGTATTTTTAGCAGAAAGGAAGTCATTTGTTGTTAAGAATTTGCACCTGAAGACAAGCTACATGAATAGCTTCTATGAGACCAGAACTGCTGGTTCAAGTAGACTGAAAAAACTGATGATCAGTAATAAAATGTTCTGTGCACAGGATGGACTGCTGACTCAATTGCTCGAAATCTGCTAGACAGTTAGAGCATCAGCCCCTTTACCTACCCATTTCAGCCTGCTTTTACTCATACAATGAATACTTGTCTGTATCTGTGTCGTTAATGATACAGCTACTATAAATAGTGAACACTTGATGTGAAGACTAGTGAAGTGCTTGACTACCTGCTTCAATTGTTACTGTTTAGATAGTCAAGTTACAGTGAGTCAAGCTCACTGTATCTTCTGTACAGAAGGAAAAATAGGAGAATATTGCTGTTTAGTGTACATTTTCCATAAGATGAGGAATTTCTTTTTCTTCTGGGGAAAGTGAACTACAAAAATCCCACCTTGTGAAAACTTTGAAAAGAGACACCTTGATCTGTAGAATTTAAATGGTCTAGGAAGATATTTTCTCAAAAGAACTCTTAATTTCTTCAGAAAGTACCAAATGTGCCAAAGGAAATTACTGGATAAATTAAGGGTATTGCAACTACACAAGCAGGAAAACCACCATCATAATGGGTAAAGAAAGCAATTCAACTTACATTAGTGCTGTCCACACAATCAGATTCATTACCCAGTGTGCAACAAGCTAATAATTACACACCTGAGAGAGACACGGATTGTTTATTCCAGATGTCTGCAAGCCTGGGTGCTCAGCGGTGGTCCACAAATCAAGCATGACCCTCCAGACTTTTCATGCCATTATTTATACGCAGAAGTTCAGAGTCAGTAACTTTCCAAGTACAGTTCCTCTATTATGATCGGTTAGTAATTTCTTTACAAGTTACATAACCCCTATACATGCTTAGGAGAGGGGGTCTTCATGGGGCAGGGGTCTTTTTGACCTGTAGGCACGAGTTTTAGTATTATAATGAACATAGTTCAGCTATAGGATACATGGACCTTGAGTATTTTGCCAAGTTTGCAATGTATACATAGACATACATCAACATCTTGATTTACTACATTCTTAAAGTTTGTTAGTTCCTGGATGTCCTTGAGTAAGGGTTGCTAACTGCTGCCTGTTCCATTTCACAGAATATTCTGAGTTGGAAGGGACCTACAAGGATCATCAAGCCCAGCTCTTAAATGAATGGCCAGTACAAGGATCACACCCACAACCTTGGTGTTATTAGCATTCTCTAACCAACTGAGCTAATCTCAGGGTCCACATTGATTAGGTCTCCTTTCTTGCTGATTAGGCGTGAAAGTTTATGAGTATCTTATGTCAAAGAACATCCTGACTTAAGATAATCTTGACATATTCCACATTTTGCAACATTAGTTTTCACTGAATCTACCAAGAAACTTAGCCAAAATAATCATAATAGAATCAGGCAGCAATAAAACTTGAAATCTAGATTATATCCCTTACTGATATCTGCAGTTTGTTTTGGTTTTTTTTATATCTTATCTGAGTTTTCTACTAGATGCTTAGAAGACTGAAGTAAAAGTCTAATACTGACGTGAGTGAACATGAAAGAAAAATGCTTCACTGATACTGCAGCAAGAAGCTGATCTTGATGCTGTGCTGAAGACATTGGTTTCCTGTCAGGAATAGCCAAAAATTAAAAACTTAATAATTACATCAACCCTTCAACCATTAATTCTGAATACAGTAATGCTCTAATTCAAGAAAGCTGCTGGTTTACTCTGATCACCTTCAGGTTCCAAATCGGGAAAGAAGTGAACGCATAGACTTGTGGCAAAATGGATTGAACTTGGAAGCTCACTCGACAGAGGATGGAGCACTAAAAATTAAAACTCTTATGATGGGTTCAGCTATGGTGCTGCCCAGGGCACTCTGGAGTACTTGCTTTTTCCAGTTCCTGCTGCATGTACCCAGCTTACACCAGCTTTCACACAGTGATCCTGTCATCCTTTGGGCAGCCAGGAAGCAAACTGTTTTGCATTCTGCCTACTGCATAACCCTTTCTTTTCCTCCCCCCCCCCCCCCCCACCGCTTTACTTTTTCTCTGTTTCTGTGTTTTCTGTTTCTGTGTTTTAAAGCTGGTTCAGTTTCTCAGTCCAGTTCACACCATTGCTGGGAAGCAGTGATTAGCCACTGAAATTGTTGAGGTACTATGTATGCTATTCAAAATCCCCTAACTTTTCATTTAATTTTCAATACTAGATTTTCTGAAAAGAGCTCAGTGCTTTGAAGACACTGCCCTAGTTCAGTCCCCACTTAACACATAAGCATTTTGAGTGGCATTAATAACAAAAATTTGTTTGGTTTACTGAAATTACTTGTAGTAACATAGTATCCTCTGTCACTAAGGGTGATGGGGCTGAAAGCCTTTTGGAGTCAAAGGCTAATTTGATCCCAGAACTTAATACTTGTGCTTTCATCTCCTTCCTGCCTGAGGTTTGGTTTGACAGGGAGCATGTGTTTGGCTCTCACTCCTTGCTATCTAGCACAAGAGAAAATGACAGAAAAGCTACAAGATGAACACTGCAGTTATAACTAAGGTCACTAGACAGATCAGCATTACTTGGTGCATTTTCAAGTGGCCTGGGTTATAACATGAGTGCATTACAAGACAAAAATGAAAGAAGAGGCCATTTGCTTCAACATACTTGTACTGTGCTGATCAGAATGATATAGTTACTATTGCTAGCTCTGAATGGCTGTGACAGTCTTTAAAAATGTTAGTGGTGGATTTTTTTTTAGTCACAGAATAAATAAAATATTGTAGTGAGTACCTCTTCAATCAATTAAAATGTGGAAAATTGTATTACATAAAATGGCTTCCCATTTCCAGTTCCTGTTCATCCTTAGCTTAACACTTCAATAATCTAGATAAGTTTCTGTTTTCAAATTCTCTTCTTTCCAATAGATCATTTTAGGGCATTTTAATGCCCTAGACTACAGTGTGGTGAATTAATAGCAACCTGCTTTTGACAGACAAGGAGCCCTCCGTGTGCCTTAGCAGACATAACAAGCAATACCCTTTAGGTTAAGTTCTTTATTCCAAATCAAGCCACTCAACTTTTTCCAGACATACTTAGTTTTCAAGAACCTGCACTAAGTTATTTTCCTCATGTGTATCCCAAATACATAGCCTGAGTTCTTCTGTTTTGTTACTGAAATGATTCAGTTTCTTACTCTTTGCACACAGTTATCAGTTTAGGGGTTTTTATTCTTTTTTCCCCTTTATTTTTCCTTTTTTTTCCTTCCCTTTTTTTTCCCTTTTTTTTTTTTTTGTTTTCTTTTCTGGATCAGCCAGTAACCTCACACAGATCCTTTGTATTTGCATTGTCTCCCTTATTTGCCTTGCCTTATGTTTCAGTGTCTTCAGACAGGGGAATATGTTGCTCAGTGCCCTCATTTAAATACTGTGGCTTTCAAAGTGAGTTTTGCTCTTGGAGTCTTAAACATGGTTGCATTCTTCTAGCATCTGCCAGTATTTGTTTTAGTTTGTCTGTCTTCTGTGCCTGTAGTGGAGCTTGACAAGCAAACAATGCAACCAAGTCCTTGAAGTAAACCAGCATATTTAAAAATATATTCTTTTACTCAAAAAAACTTAACTTTTCTAAGATTCCTCAAAAAACCCCTAAGTTGTTCAAAAGATGACAACAAATTCCACTAAGCAGAACATGTCAGGATGGGCTTTAAGCAGATGGCACTTGTTAAAATCCATGTCACATACTGCAAAACAGGATGCTGGAACTTTTTGTGACAGATCTAGCTATATTTTTCAAAAATAATTTCCTTTGGATTTAGGAATCTAGGCCTACTGTGAGATCTAGTCACATACAGCTGATGATAATTTATCCTGTACCATGAAATCATACTAATCTTGCCTACCTTAATTTTTTTTTTTTTTTTTATTTTTCAGGGACTCTACCCCCTCATTATCTCATTTAAATAAGCAGTATTTAAGACATCTTTTAGCAGAAAATGTCTAGTTACTAAAATCTTCAGTATCTTTATTGAAATAGTTTGTCTACATCAAACACCTTTATTTCTCTTCCTTTCAGCCAACTTGTCTTTGCTACTCAAG